TCAGTGAGATAGAAGGGGCTTCTCTTCATTGCATTTCTAAAATAGTCTCTTTTCCCCTATTTCTAAATAGATACCAGGTTCTCAGTACTTGGATACCAGTGTTTCATACTACCCCCCCCCCCCCATACCAGGAATTGAACTCATGACCTTGCGCTTGCCAGGCAGGCGCTGTGCCACTGAGCTAAATCCCCAGCCCTGTTTCGTACTAACTTAATAAAAGTTCATACTCTCCTTGACGAAGTAGAGTTTACTTTTTGGCTCTAGACTGTTGCCTTCCTATCTAACACCTAAACCCAGAAGCATAAATACAAGGATCTGAACACATTGGAATACTGGTTATTTTAACTATATATGACATGAGAATTTTCTGGCAAAGCCAAGGTGCATGAGGCAGCTGGTCACACAATGGCTGGGAAAAGGTTGTTGAATCTCCAAGTATTTCCATTTTACTCAGTTGAATTGCTGGCATGGCCAGCATTAATAATTTAGGATAGTTGCTTATGAAGGCTCACCTTAGATTTTAAATAGTATCTGTCTACATGGAGTCATATTATAAAGATTAAACAGAAAAATGTAATAATAACTAATAGCCATGCTTTTTGAATCTCTACTATATACCTGGCCATCTTCCTAGATACTTTATATGCTTTATTGTGAGTCCTTCCATACATTTGGAGGGTGGCTATTTCCCCATTTTGCAGACTAGGCTACTAAATCTCAGTGATAATTTGCCTTTTATCATCTAGTAAAGTGGTTGCTAGTAAACTCACTCAGGTTTGACTGACTTCAAGGGCCTTGCTCTTTGTAATTCTGTTATCCGTAACAGTGGTGCTAGAAGGGAGACTAGAATCGAGTGCCTCATGTGTTTAGGAAGAACTTTCGGATGCTAAGTTAGTGCCACTCTGGAGCATTGGCTTTACTCTGGCCATCACTACCTGTCTGCTACTGTTATCGATATTCTTCATGGCCTCTTCGTTGCAAGAAAGGAAACTCGATCTGCATTTCTGTTCTCACCACTGATCTCAAATACTTCTTCAGGTGTCTGTCAAGTATCATATCACTAGCTATTTTGTCATACTTGTCATTGTATTTTTTTATTCATGTTATTATTTGTGTCCAGATGGATGTGTAGCTGAAGACACATTGTGTTGGATATGAGCATAGTTCAGGTCAGCACTGCCCAATAGGACTTCTGCAATTATGGGGATGTCATATATCTGGACTGTCCAGTATGATAGGGGCTAGTCACATGAGGTTCTTGAGTGCTTGAAATGTGGCTAGGGTAAAGGAAGGGCTAAATATTCCATTAAATTTTGATTAAATAAAAATGACCACATGTGACTAGGGCTATTGGATTGGACAGCACTGTTTGAAGCAGTAATGATGTTTGTGTTTGATGAGTACGATAGAATCTGCGGAAACTCAGTTGATAATTTCTTTTTGTTTTACAGTTAAAATGGGCTAATTTTATTGTTTGTAAATTAAACCCCAGAAAAGTTGATTTTTGTTTTGTCTTGCTTTGTTATTTTGAGACATGTCTTGTTACATACTGCAAGATGGCCTTGAGCTCACTATGTAGTCTAGGTTGGCCTCAAACTTGCGGCAGTCTTTCTGCCTCAGCCTCCTGAGTGCTGGTATTACAGGCATACTCTACCGTGCCAGGTTTAGTAAAGTTGATTTTAAAAGTTCCTTGAGCTCACTATGTAGTCTAGGTTGGCCTCAAACTTGTGGCCGTCTTCCTGCCCCAGCCTCCCGAGTGCTGGGATTACAGGCATGCTCTACCATGCCAGATTTAGTAAAGTTGATTTTAAAAGTTAAGCACACAGAAAAAATTATGTACATATACCTTGGTAGAACATGAGCCTGTGGCTGTTTATGCATCTTTGTGTAGGTAGGTAGCCAATGTGTGCCCCCTACCAATAGCATCTCAAGATCTAAATAATATTACAGGCATCAGCAAGGAAGTATGTGATGGAGATTTGGAATGGAAGTGCCTTCCTCTTCATTATCAGTTGGTAATTTGAAGGTTGCTCATTTGTTTTCCAGCAACATTAAATGCAGCATATATTCAACTTAAAACCATATTATCATAGAAGAAAACAGGGTAGAACAGTTCATGTTTCCAAAGTACTTTTTGATCATTCAGGATCTCATTTGGTGACTTTTTCAGATGTGATATAATTTATGACTTGGTTTTGCTAATGGATCACAGAAGAAAGGGAGAAAGAACAAACCCGCTTACAACTTCCTTGTACCAGGTCTCCTCCTGCTGCAGTGGACACCAGTCTGTTGGTGTTTAGGTTGCAGTAAGTACGGGGACCTGGACACAAGCCCATGTACTCTTTTTCTCAGCTCCTTGACTGAGACTGGAGAATTATCTCTTCCCCACTCAGTTAAAATATCCATTAATTTTTGTTTTTACATCTCAAGAGAAGGAAGTACAGTCAATTTCTAAGTTTGGCCAGGGAGCTGCAATGATTTGATAATCAAGAACAACAACAGAAATGTAGTTTTCCTTTCTACTACCCTGTATAAGTGCTTTGGACCTTGATTTAAAATTTCTGTTTTGACAAATATAACCCATACCTCCAGAAGTATTCTGTGTAAGACTAGTTTTGGTATATGTTTTCCAAAGAAACTTTTGATGGAGGTAAATAATAAATTATATATGATATCTTGGTAAGAAATTAATGTCACTACAGTTTTCATATACAGTCTGATTTAATTTTGATGAGCTGATCTTATGAAATATTTAAAAATATTAATTTGGTATTTGTCACTTGCATTACTGTGTTTTTTCCCTGACATTGTATTTATAAAATGCCCCTCTCCTTTCCACCAGAGCATAGAACCAATCAACTCTGGATGCTTTTGATATTTCTGACTGCTAGAGCATTGAATGAAGTTCCCTGTAGTGAGGAAAGAGCACATGGGACTCATGACTTTATGTACTCCAACAATAGAGCTTTTATGACATTGGAGGTGGTTAAAAAAGCTAGAAGTAGCTCTTAAACATGGCATCTCTGTGTTGCCTTTTTTTTTTTTTTTGTATTCTCAGAGCTGCCAGGAGTGCATCGAGCCTGTAATTTCCTGTCCTCTGAATCCCCCATCTTTTTGCAGCTCCAAGCTTTGTGTCCCACAGCCTGTGACTCTGTGCTAACAAATCGCTATTGTCCAGTGGGGCGAATGGTGGCTGGAACTAAAGAATTGCTGTCTGGTTTCTATTCAAATCCAGGTAGTGAGATATATGAATGGACTTTTCGAATCGTCATGTGAATAACGTCTGCTCGGTGTGAAGGCTCAGAGCCACACTAGGAAAGATTAACTCCTAGTCTAACGACTAACAACATCCTTTGTGATAGGAGGTAGAAACATTTCACAATATCATTTTATTCACACTAATTTTGTATTTCATATTCCCAAAGGTAGGGTTCGCTATTTAATTATTTGGCAACTTTTCTGTCAAGTTTTAGTATTCTGTTGATAATACAGAGAAGTTTGAAGAAATGCTAAGGTTTGGGGAACCTTACATAGAAGTTTGGGGAAATGCTAAGATTTTTGTTCGCTTAGTACCATGTTATTTTCTCTCAGAAGTTTTCTCCCTAACATTTATTATAGCATGAAGTTACCTTTCTAATACTCAAACCAGTAAAGAGCTGCTTTTTCTAAGAAGCCAGTCCTTTAAAATACTTTCTGATCAATGGAGGGAAAAATTCCCTTTTTCTTTTTAGTGTATACTTACTACTTTACATTTTTCTCTCAAAGTCTAAATTTGTAAAAAGAAATCATGGAAACAACTTCAGATGTAGTATATTCACCATACAAAACAGTCTCCTTCAAATTTGGAACAAACCTAAGCATTGATAAGTATAGCGGAATAAGGATTTTTTAAAAGCAGATTTGGAACTGGACTATAACTCACAATTTTCTCTTATCTATGGAAAATTATTTTATCTTTCTCCTGTATACCTGAAAAAAGTCTCCTCAAGCTTGAAGGGCCATGTTTTTACATTCCTTGCATATCACAGGTAGTATGAAACGAAGAGCCTTTTATGTTTCTTTTTGTCTTAAACTCAGACAGCTTTGTAAGCAGTAGTGTGTAGATTACAAGAGTTAGACAAAAGCAGGCGCGACTGAGAAGAGTTGGTTGGGGGGAGACTTGGGGCACTTCCTGTCACTCAACACATTCCAGATCACTAAAAAATTTCCACACCCTCTGCATTCCCTCTTGTACATCCCAGTTCCCAGTATTTTCTTATTCTTTATATTGTGGTATTTATCATACTGCTCTCTTACTGGGCTCTGCAAGACTGCTTCAGAGGAGATACATTCCTTTAGATTGTACAAAGCATAGCTGGGAAAATGGCTGGCAGTTTCAGAATCTAGTCACGATCGCACGCATGAGCACCTCACGCATCCATGCCCCTTCCCCCTCCCGCCCCTGCAGCTGGCTGACCTGTCTCACCCACTGCTGGCCTATCGAGCGGCCAGGACTGTCTGGTTTTGGCTCATGCCTTTGTCCATGTCTGGCTTAGTTCCTCTCTGTCTATGCTTGCCTCTATCCCCACCGCCCCAGGCGGCACAAGTGTTTGGCCACACAAAACTGCAGAAAAGGTGGCAAAAACTTCAAACTTTGCTAGATTCTCCAATAGTTTATTCTTTTGTAAATTTCTTCCTTTTTTAAAATCTCTGTTTTAAGAAAACAAATAACAAAATTAACTATCTAAAGGCAGGGAATGCAAAGCAACCTTTGTGTTCCTTATAATAACTGACTTCATAACTCTTCTCCAGCTGCGTTATGGGGTGTGTATAAAAGCTTCTGTTCTGAGAACAAAGGAGCACGTGCAGAAATGAGAATAAAAAAATCCACTGACAGTATTTCACTACACAAATTACTTAAAAGATTTTAGTCAAGCCTTTCAACAGATTCAATTTTTAAATGTTTCTTTAGAAAAAACAAAACAAAAAACAAAACAAAAAAATAAATTGAAAGTGCTTACCCAGTAAAAGAACCGAAGTAGTCCTGAACTGTTACGTAAGACTTTTTACAGTTGGATCTTTGTCAAAAGGGGATGGGGGTGATGGGAGAAAGCAGCAACAACAATCAAAAAGTTCAAGCTGCTGTGGCAAGAGGACAACTTCTGTGCTTCCAGATAGGGTTCTTGCTGTAGAAATGGAACTTCCAGCCAGCACATGATCTTGTCCCAGTAGAGAAATGAGTTTGTCAGTGAGAAAAATTTAGATTCTGGAACCCAGGCTAGATGAGCTATTGAACCGCGCCAGATTTCCTTGCAGCCCTGTCTGCTCAGCTCACATTGAACTATATATGACCCAGATGATGGACAGAAGCACATTCAGTCATGTGCACACTGGAAGAAAGCGGATTTGCTGCTCCCTGGCAGTGCAGGGGTTTGTCTTCTGATTGGGCTGTGCCCTGATCAGTGAAATGTGAAGCTCTCACCATTCAGAGGCCGTAATTCAGGACTGGCAGTTTGAGTGTCTGGCTGCTTCTAGTCACTGAGAGAGACTTTGAAGGTGTTGCTATTGTGTGGTGGCATTACGCACCTAGAGGTTGCTTACACCTATGCACTTGTGGCAGGAGAAACACTAGTCTATCCAAAATGCAAGAAGCCTGCTGACTGCCTGAATATCAGGTCTTCCTGTTGCTGATGAATTGGGCTCCAACTTAGAGCAGATATTTGATTTGAGAATTTTTTGTGATCCTAAGCAAGCTTTATATCTAGAGCATCCCTTGGTCTAGATTTTATGTGAAGTAAAAATGAAAGTGACGTTTAAAACTTTGAACATTTTTCTAGATGATGTAAATTGCTCTTAATGAAAATTGGATTGAATGGACAGGAGAAAAGTTTTGGATTCTGGAGACTTTGAATGCACTGGGAAGAAGCTTTATCTATTATTATCCCCTTTGTGAGGCTGTCACTCTTACCCCAGTCCTTAGTCACATAGAAGGTTACTTAGGGGGATATATGAAAGCGTAGACCCCACTGAGCTGTGACATAGCTTTTAATCATGCAAGACAACCACAGTCTGCTCTGTTCAGCCTGTCTGACCTAGGGTCCTCAGGGTTTATTTCCCTTCTTTCTGGACCACTAGGAAACCATGTCATTATACAAGACTGTCAGTTGTGACATTTTGGTTTAGTACATGACACTTGCTTTGTTTAATATAAAATAACACATTTTTAAAAACTTGAAACAATATGAAACTTTGACTCTGACATATAAAATCTACATGGACCATTTTTTCCCCCATGGAGTTTATTGTCTCTTTAGGAAATAGTTTATATAGTCCTAAGTCAACATTTAGACACGCGGTTTACTTTCTGCCCCATCATACTTACTGAAATAATTCCATGACCAGTACATAGCATCTGTCTATTTTATTGCAAACTCTGTGTTTGGGTGTTTGTATACCTGCAATTTTTTAGGTATTTGCTGCATTCTACAACATTCTGCATATGAAGATTGCCTCAGAATTCTTTTCCTGTTCTAGCCTGAGAGAAGTTGGGTTGATATGCTACAAGTAAGGATGCTCAAAGTGAGAGGATTTAAACATGTTCTTGGTTTTTGTTTTGTTGTTGTTGTTGTTGTTGTTTTTTGTCTTTTTTTTTTCTTCCAGTACCGGGAATCAAACTCACGACCTTGCTCTTGCCAGGCAGGTGCTATGCCGCTGAGCTAAATCCCCAGACCCTGTTTTTTTGTCTTTTTGAGATAGGGTCTTGCTCTGCAGTTCAGGCTGGCCTTGAGCTCACTTTGTAGCCCAGGCTGGTCTCGAACTTGCAACAATCCTCGTGCCTCAGCCTCCTGAGTGCTGGGATTATAGGCGTGCGCCACCATGTCCGGCTACATTCTTGTTTTCTTTAAATCATTCATCAATAATTCTTCTCATGTTTGAAACTATGGTAAAATATACATAATATAGCATTTGCCATTTTAACTAGTTTGGTGGCATTAAGTTCGTTGTTATTGCAACCTGCACCACTATCCATCAGACTCTTGTGATCTTGCATATGAAACATTAAACTCTGTGCCTGTTGAAAACTAATTTTTCATTCTTTCCTCTGTAACCACAGCAGTCCCCATTTTATTTTTAGTCTCTGTGAATTTGACTATTCAGATGTCTCATATAAATGGAATTATGCAGTGTGTTCTTGTCCCTTTGTGACAGGCTTATTTCACTTAGTATAAGTCTTCAAGTTTCTTCCATGTTGTAGAATTTCAAAATTTTATGCTGTTTTATATATATTTAATTTATATGTATAATAATATGTAAGATTTATATATATATAAATATATATATTACATTTTACCCATTCATCTGTCAGTGGCCTTGACTTGGTTTCACCCTTTGGCTACTAAGACAGTTACTCATGGTTATTCTTAAAATCACATGAGGGCTTCTGCTGTTACTCATTTCTGGAGCTCTTTCAATTATATAAGTTGTGGAAGGGTTTTGATGTGTCTACTCTAAAGACTAATGAGTCCTTAATATCAGGTTCGCTGAAGAAGGGAAGATTCTTTTCAGCCTTCCTGCTATAATGAGACATGGTGCATACTACACTCCTTTTAATTCTGTTATACTTACTGTTTATGGGTTTATTTTTCCTATTATACTTTGAGCTGCTATAGAGCAGCGACCATGACCAGTTCTTGAATTGTGCCTTGTGCTTCCTGTGTATGTATGGGGCTGTTGAAAAAATGTAAATAAATGCATAATAATGGATATTTTCACTGGATTTTTGTTGTGTGCCAGAAACTTTACCAGTTGTTTTATATACATTTAGCTTATTTTTAAAAATAGGTCTATGAGATAAGTATTACCGGCTTTACTTAGATGAGAGAATTTGCCAAAATCCCTATAACATGTAACGGGCATAATTTGAATTTGAACCCTTGCCTATCTTAGTTCCAGAACCATTATGGTAGAGGCAGACTTCATAGTGAAAATGGTGACATTGGGTCTGAAAACATGAGACAGCCTAACTACTGGTTCCAAACCAAGTATTCTTTCATTGAGTGCTAGAAGTTAGAGCCTTCAGATAGATAAGTGCGTGAATGGACACTATGACTAGAGTGTGGCACATCATTTAGCTGAACAAGTACTTGCTGAATTCTATTCACAGACATACCTCTGTATAAATTCTCTTTCCTGTGTTATTTTGAAAGTATAGTTAAATTCTAACATATGTGGTGTGACCCTGGAATGCATGTGTCAGTGTTCTTCCCATCCAAGTACTAACCAGGCCTGACCCTGCTTGGCTTCTGAGATCAGACAAGATGGGGCACGTTGAGGGTGGTATGGCCATAGACAGTGTTCTTCATTTGTTCTGTCCACTTGACAGCTACACACACACACACACACACACACACACACACACACACGTTTATATAAGCAACTGGCACAGTTCTTAGGGAGCTTACATTCTAGTGGGATGACAGAAAAATAAATGTTACCGTGAAGATAAGAAGCCATGTTGTGAAGAAAACAAAGTAGGGTCTATAATGATGGAGAATGGCTAGGGTGTGGGATGTTAAGGGGTGGGGCAGGAGACCCCTGTAATAAGGAAGTATTGGGGAATGCCTCCCCAATGAACTGAGATACAGAAACAGGCAGCATCAAAAAAGCTGGTAGGAGTATGGTCTGGGCAGTGGGAACAGGATGCAAAAGCTCTAAGGTAGGTTGACTTTCATTTGTCTGAGGAACAGAAAAGGTGGTATGGCTAAAGTGGAGGTGATGTTAGGGAGGTGGGATGGGGTCCTAGCACATAGGGATTTGTAAGCAACAGTAAGGGTTTTGGAGCCGGGTGTGGTGGCGCACACCTGTAACCCCAGCACTCAGAAAGCTGAGGCAGGAGGATTGTTGTGAGTTCAAGACTAGGTTGGACTACAAAGTGAGCTGAAGGCCAGCCTGAACTGCGCAGCGAGACCCTGAAAAAAAAAAAAAGTACGTAAGTGTCTTGGTTACTTTTCTCTCATTGCTGAGACAAAATACCCAACACCCAGAATTAAGGAAGAAAAGGCTTATTTAGCTCACAGTTTGTGGAGGTTTCAGTCCATACTAGGCTGGCTTCAAGGCAGAGTGGCACATGGCAAAGGGCAAGTTTATGGTGGTGGAAAACAGCAAAAGCAACAAGAGCAGAAAGGAGCATCAGCAAACAAGCCTCTTTCCTTCCCTTATACTGTTTGCAAGCTACCCTAGGTAGGTGTAGCACTCATACCCATAATCCCAGCAATGGACTGTGAGTCAATCAAAAACTCCAGAAGCCTGCCCCATGACTGCATGAGGCTTTGGGGGGACATCTAGACACAAACCATAACAGTAGGAAAATGGGATCCTTCCCCACAAGTGTATTTTTTGAAGTGGCAGGATATTGTAGGGTTGTAAGCAGGATACTTTGTTCTGCAGGCCTAAAAAGACCTGTGTGGTTCTTTTCTATGTTTGGTCCTTTTAGGCCCCCTGACGGCACCTTTAACCGGGTTCCTTCCCAAGGTAGGTACCTTGCCCAGGCTTCCACAATCAGCAGCCGGTTCTGAGGGTCCTGGGAGAATGATATTTCTTTTAAAGCAATAGGATGACTAATACTGCTTTTGTTGCCCATTTCTCTAGAGAGGGTTTGTCCAAGGAGAACTTTAGGCATTTTCACACATCACCATTGTGTGAGTAGAGTTGTGCAGCCTGGTTAATTTAGGATAAAATTCAGTTTTTAATTCTTCCCCATTTTGCTATGTCAGTAATTTAAAAGGATATGTCATTGGCAAATTATATTAGTTGACTTCTGTTTATATGATGTAGTTAAAGCCATATTCCTGGGAAGCCAAAGTTGACAGAGGTGCTTTCCCACTATTCATAAACAAGACTATGTTCAGCTGTTTGGATACTACTAGGGTTAATTGCCAACATTTGGCTGAGATTTTTTTTTTTTTCAAATTCTCTCTCCTGTTTCTTGTTTTTTTTTTTGTTTTTTTTTTTTTAAGACAGTGTCTCACTGTGTAATTCAAGCTGGCCTTGATGACTTCACTGTGTGGCCCAGGCTAGTCTTGAACCTGCAGTGATCCTCCTCCCTCAGCCCAAGTGCTGGGATTACAGGTGTGTGCCATCACACTTGGTTCAAATTCTTAAAAATTTAGAGTACAGAAAATAACATAACACCTTATATAGTCTTATTTTATAGGTCAGTGCCATCTGATATTTTAGAGTAGTGAAATAAGTGATGTCCTCTGATATTTATTCTCCCTTTTTATCTTTTTTAAAAAGTGTTTTATTTGTAGGGCACTAAATGGGCTTGACATCTGCT